CCTGCTCTTGCTCAAGGTGTCCCTTTGGTTACTCCCTTACTGAAAACCTTCAGTGGCTCTTCTGCAATCACAAGATTGAGTTCAAATGTCGCTGTCTAGTGTTCATTGCTGGACAACATATGGCCCCTTTGCCAAGCTTACCTACCTTCCCTGTTGTTTAATCGTCTCTTTCTGCCACAGCTCTCTCTCCCTGCTCCTTCCTGTTCCCTAAATGTGCTGTGTTCAGTTCTCTTTCAGGAGTGATGGTGCTGGGACAGGCTCTGAGGCTACTATTCCAGTTTCTCATCCCAGACCCACCAGCAGACTTGGCAGGTTCCTTCACCTTTCTGAATATCAGCTTCCTCCTCTGAAATAACCCCGTATGTTGGTTGGGAGGATTGAATAAAATGACATGGAAACCCACTCTCCTTCCTGAAGGTGTCTTCAAACCTAGCATCTACAGTGGCACCTGACACCTGCTCCCTGGGCTCGTATTTCTCCTTGTCTCTCTTAACCAATCAGGGCCTGACCTGAATCCTGTCTCTTTCATGTAAGCTTCTGAGCTGCTTGTGACCAGTGGATCCCACCCTTCCATAAATCACCTCGCCCATGTGTTAGCATTTAGTCATGTGCCAGCCCTCTCAGTGAGACCCCATAGGGCGGCTTGAAGGATATTGGCTCTGTGATAACTGAGGGGTAATTCAGTTAATTCGTCTGTTAGTGCTTCCTGAGTGTTGAAACTACCTTCTCCTTCCTCTTGTACCAGCCATCCAGACCCTGGTGGTCATATGGACACTTTAGGGATTGCTGTTGTCAGGGTCCTTCTTCCTTTGGGTTTCAGTTAAATTCGTGTTCCCTTTTGTATGTTATCAGATGGCCCCTCTACGGGAGGGACCGATGAAATTGCTTTATGGAAACCGCAGGATAATGACTCTAAGGAAGCTCAGCACAGTGTCTTATGCTTCAACAGCCGGGTGGCGGGAGATGTGTACACTTTCCTATTTCATGAAATTTACACCAGGGTCTTTACTCTCTTACTTCAGAAGAGATTAAAGACAATAGACCAGGAGGGGAGGACAAGGCTATTTAAGGGGGGGTGGTCATGTACCTCTGACCTGGATTTTATGAATTTTTCATTCAGTGTACCCGGAAGTGTGCAACTTTTCGTGTCTGGTCATATGCTTATATCATGTAGCTCATTACCCTCTTGGCCAGGGCAATTAGGAGTTCATGTCTGGCTTACGACAGTAAAATTACATGGTTTGTGCTTTCCCTGCAGCAAAGGCTTCTCTAAGGTCTGGAGAGAAAATAGGCCAGGAGGGCTGGACAATTCATTTAGTGACCTGCCTTGTCTTGTTATTGGACAGCAGTCTACTCACCCATCGCTTTCTCAATCAGGGGATTTTGGCCTTCCCTTTCCCCTGCCGTGAGTCCAGGTATATTTATCTATGCCTCAAATTGGATGTTCTTTTAAAAGAGAGGTCCAAGGAATGGCTTCCTAGCTGATTTCTGGAATTCTAATTTTCACTGTGTAGGCTTTGATTTCCAACGCTGGATGTTGGTTAGAATGACCTGTAGGGCATATATATATATACTCACACACACATACATAACATGTTTTTTTAGACAGGATCTTATTCTGTTGCCCAGGCTAGTGTGCAGTGGCATCATTAGTGCTCACTGCAACCTACAAATCCTGGGCTCAAATGGTCCTCCTGCCTCAGCCACTGGAGTAGCTGGGACTACAGGCATGTGACACTATGCCCAACTAAGTTTTTAAAATTGTTTGTATAGACAGAGTCTCACTATTACCCAGGCTAGTCTTCAACTTCTAGGCTCAAGTGATCCTCCTGCCTCGGCCTCCCAAAGTGCTGGGATTACAGGTGTGAGCCACTGTGCCCTGCGCTCTAGGGCATTTAAAATGCACAATGCCTGTGCTTACCCCAAGACAGTCTGATTTCATTGGTCTATGGTGTGGCCCAGGCATTGGCA